TGTGGTGGTGACGATGATGATGATGATGGTGTTTGTTGTGGTGATTAAGGTGACAGTGTTGGTGGTGGTTATTAGCATTAAGATGGTGAAGAGGATGGCGATGATGATGATGGTGTTATGAACAATAATGATGATTTTGTTATTATTATTATTATTTTTGTAGTAGTAGTAGCAGCAGTAGTAGTAGTAGAAGTAGTAGTAATAGTAGTATTAGTAATAGTAGTAGTAGTAGTAGCAGTAGCAGTGGTAGTAGTAGTAGTATTGCATTAACAGGGCGCCATAAACATCGAAAATTATCAAGAACTGATGGAGAAGTTTTTTGCCAACACCAATAATAACAATAATAATAACAATAACAACAACAATAATAATAATAATAATAACGATGGTGATGGTGGTGGTGACGACCTTGGCAAGAGGTCAATACTGATATTTCATTGTGAGTTCTCGTCTGAGAGAGCGCCAAAATTGTTAGTGAGTCTATCAATCAATCAACCAACCAATCAATCAATTAAGTATTCATTAATTAGCAATCAATCAATTAACTAATTAATTAACCAAACAACTTGTCAATTAATTGAGTTTTTAGTCAACAATCAAACCAATCAAAAACCACCGACAGTTAACCAGCCAATCAAATCAATGTTAACCATTTAAATCCACCAATCAGGATGCGTTTCCTACGAAACTTCGACAGAACTGAAAACCAATCGCGCTATCCGAAACTTTTCTACCCCGAACTCTACCTCTTAGAGGGTGGGTACTCCCTATTCTACAGGCACCACCCCCACCATTGTGACCCTCCCAATTACGTCACCATGCTTGACCCCGCCTACGTCACCCAGCTGATGACGTCACAGGCCAAGTGCAGATCGATCGAGGACGAAATTAGTAAAAATATGCTGAGGAGGCGGGTGACCGGAAATGCCAACTAATTGATTGATTAATTAATTGATTGATTGATTGATTGACTAATTTGTTTGGTGATTAAGTGATTGGTTCGTTTAACCGTTCGTTCATTCGTTCATTGAAAAACGATATTTTTTAGGTGTCATTACGAAAGGCGTTCTTATTTATTATGGTTTTAGTGTTGTTTAAACAGTTTGTAACGTTAGCTTTGACGTGATATATGTCTGCGAGTGTGTGTGTGTGTCTATGTGTGTGTGTGCGTGTGTGTGTCTATGTGTGCGTGTACGTGTACAGTATATACGTACGTGTGTTAGGTTAGATTATTGATTTTTACTATAAATTCCGAACTTTTTAATCAGTTAATAAATTCGAATTATTAGAGGTGATCAATTGATTTTTAGATAAATGATTGATTGACAGATTAATTCATTGATTCATTCATTGATAAATAGTGTATAATGAATTGTGCTGCAAAGATAAATGCCGATATATAATGTAAATAAAAGTGTCTTACCTGTCAGAGTAACTTCTGTCTTTCATTCTGAATATGTAGATTCATCTAAGATTCGGAAAGCTATAATAAAAAGTTTTATGATCCATGATTGATTGATTGACTGGTTGATTGATTAATTGATTGATTCACTGGTTGATTCACTGGTTGATTGATTGATTCACTGGTTGATTGATTGATTCACTGGTTGATTGATTGATTCACTGGTTGATTGGCTGTCTGATTAATTGGTTGAATGATTCATTGACTAATTGATTTACTGGCCGCTTGTTTGATTGACTGATTGATTGAAATGTATATTTTGCTGATGAATGATCCGTGGTAATTCAATCTCCGTTTGTAGGAATTTCATCCAAAATCCCAACTTGAAGCAACATTCCGGATAGAGAGAGAGAGAGAGCTTAGTGCAGGAATCGAATTATAGCACTCGGACGTGACGGTCCTTATGTAACCATCCAATCCCAGTCAATATTTTACATTTTGATAATTTTAACATTTTCTTCGTCAGAGTATGAAAAAGATTCAAAGAATAAAAATAAAAAGAATGAAAATAGGGTATAATAGATACGTGCGTTGTGTGTGTGTGTGTGTTCGTTTATGTGAGTGTATATCCGTATATGCGTGTGCGTGTGTGCGACTTTACGTCATTGGGTTTCTTAACCCCGAGTAAAACTTACCAATCAATCAATCAGTAAGTTTATATTAAGCGCTATTTTCGTGATGTTCAATAGCGCTCCTCAATGAATTTTGCAAACAGATGGGTCATGGGATCGGCTCTGAACTTCGTAAGTGATAGAGAAGTAGTCAGAGAAGGAGGTAGAGAATTCCAGAGAAAAGGGCCAAAAAACAAACGGATTAAGCAAAAAGTGTTTAACATGAACAAGATCTGGGAACAAGAAGACGATCGTAAGCCTATGTATTTAGGTTCAATTAATATATCTGCAAAGTACCTACTTGGGAAATAATTTAGATTGAGACTAAAGAAGTAAGGAGGAGAAGAGAAGGATTGTCAAGAAAAGGCAAAATTTTTTTTATTTTTCGTAGATGAAAGTAAAAATTTTTAGCAACACTATTACTCTGAGAAGAGACATGCTAGAATCAAAGATAAAGCCTAGAAGACTACGAAACTTGTGAGATACATCAAGAGTTTTAGAATCAGGTAAGATAATAGAAGGAATAAAAATAGAGTGTTTAGATTTATTAAAACAAACTAATTCAAATTTAGAAGGATTAAGACACACAGAGTCAGACCAAGCGATAATTGAAAAAAAACATAGAGACAGATTACGAAGAACACTATTGAGATAAGATGGAGTAAAAGAAGTATAAATATAAGAATCATCAGCATATAGTTAACTAGGGAAAGAAAAATTATTAATAATACGAGGTAGTTCAGATGTATAGAGTATAAATGTATTTTGAGTAAAAAAGTTTCAGTACCGTGAGCAGGTCTGAAACCAGATTGAGATTGAGGTAGCAAGGAGTTAGAGTTTAAATAAAACGACAATCGGTTATAAACTACTTTGAAATTCCGTAAAAATCTGGGTTTTTGGAGAAGGATTTGTCAAGGATTATTATTTTACAATAAATAATGGTTTGAAGACTTTGTCAGTTAATTAGTTGATTTAGTTCTTTGTATATATAAATGACTTATAATGCGAATGCGTGCGTGCGTGCGTGAGTGTGTGTGTGTGTGTGTTTAAAGACAAAATAAGTTTCTATGCAACGAGAATCATTTATTAGTTAAAATGTGTTATGAAATATTTTTCATTACAAATTTTCAATCATTCGTCTATTCATTTGTTTGCTAATTTGTTCATTCTTATGTTTATTCATTCATTCGATCTTGTTTAGTTCTTCCATTATAGGTTTTATTCATTAATTCACCCATTCATTTACATTATATAAACATCCACACTTTAGTTAATTCATACCTTTACAAATTGTCTATCCACTATCCATCCATCCACCAATCAATTTATCAACCAATCAATCAATCGATCAATCGATCAATCAATCAATCAACCAAACAACCAACCAACTAATCAATCAATCAATCAATACATGAAATTGATTAGGAATAAATACTACATTCTGTACTTTAAAGACACACACGCACGCACACATGCATAAACACACATACACACATGCATAAACACACATACTTTTTGCAAACTAGAATAATCTGCATTAAATATTAATATCATGTAGATTAATTTCAAATTATGCGAAAATAAAAATATTCAAAAATTGTTGTAACTGTTGAGTTGTGTTCCACGTGTCTAGCGATCTAAATGCACTGATTGTTTGTTGTTGTTGTTGTTGTTTGTTGTTGTTGTTGTTTGTTGTTGTTGTTGTTGTTGTCGTTGAAGAGAAAATTATGACAAATAAATAAAATATATATAATTAGATTATATTAAAAAGTAGAATTATGACAAAAAAATAAAATATATATAATTAGATTATATTAAAAAGTAGAATTATGACAAATAAATAAAATATATATATATATAATTAGATTATATTAAAAAGTAGAATTATGAAAAATAAATAAAATATATATAATTAGAAAAACGTTACATAAAAATACATCCAGCTCAGATGCCAGTTCACCATTCCTACAAAGCAGTAGTTAGTAGTGTTAATGTCAATTGGAAAAATTAGTAAAGGAATAATATAGTACCATTTGTTATGAGAGTAAAATAACAACATCTATCTAATTTGAGAAACATTATATAATATATATATATACATATATGTGCGTGTGCGTGTGTGTGTGTGCGTGTGCGTGTAACAAACATAAATGGTAAACAATAAACAATATATATATATGCAGGTTCACTCATCTGATTGTATTGGAACATTGATATAATAAGCTATTTACCAAGGCTGTGTATGTATATGTGTGTGTGTGTGTGCGTGTGTGTGTGTGCGTGTGTGTAGTGTGTGTTAGAGGTTTAATATTTTTTGATTACAAGAATCCAATAATGAACGGATTGAAGAAAATTCAATGAGTAAATTAAATGGATGAATAAATGAAAACATCATTAATTTGTTCATTCATTCATTCATTCATTCATTCATTCATTCATTCATTCATTCATTCATTCATTCATTCATTCATTCATTCATTCATTCATTCATTCATTCATTCATTCATTCATTCATTCATTCATTCATTCATTCATTCATTCATTCATTCATTCATTCATTCATTCATTCATTCATTCATTCATTCATTCATTCATTCATTCATTCATTCATTCATTCATTCATTCATTCATTCATTCATTCATTCATTCATTCATTCATTCATTCATTCATTCATTCATTCATTCATTCATTCATTCATTCATTCATTCATTCATTCATTCATTCATTCATTCATTCATTCATTCATTCATTCATTCATTCATTCATTCATTCATTCATTCATTCATTCATTCATTCATTCATTCATTCATTCATTCATTCATTCATTCATTCATTCATTCATTCATTCATTCATTCATTCACTCATTCCTTAATTCACTCATTCATTCAATCAATCAGTCAATCAACTATCGAAAACAAACAGTCAAGCAATAGATAAAAATAATTTCGTAATGTTACTCGATCGTCGTCGTCATCATCATTACCAATACTCTCAATGTGTGTGTGTGTGTGCGTGTGTGTATGGTTTGTGTGTATGGTGTGTGCGTGTGTGTGCGTGTAACGTGTGTTAGAGGTTTCATTATCATAATTTATTCCGTTCCAGATTAATCATCATCATCACCGTCATTCCCATCACTTCAACACTGACATCCTTTGTTGTTATTGTTGTTGGGTTTTTCCAGGAGTTGTTTGGACGATGATTGGCTAGCCGACGTTCCGGAAGTATGGCCGACTGTCTCGGAGTCTAGACTTTCAGACATCTTGTCGCATATTATGTCTACAAGTCTGGAGATGAGGATGATGATGGGATGATAATGATTATGGTAATGGTGGTGGGGGTGATGATGATGATGGTGATGATGATAATCTAACCTTTCAAAGACTGCTTTCACACTTATGTTCTCTTTGGCTGAGGTTTCAAAAAACTCTAGACCTGAATGAATGAATGAACGAACGAACGAACGAAGGAATAAATGAATAAACGAATGAACGAACAAATGAATAAATGAATGAAGGTGAATTAAAGTGAAAGTGAATTTAATTAACTTATAAAATCTTCACTATCTCATTCATCACCCTCACTAAAATCTTCACTATCTCATTCATCACTCTCACTAAAATCCTCACTATCTCACCCATGTTAAGGGCAAGCTGCTTCCCCCTTTCCGTGGAGACGACCCTCTCATCTTCAAGGTCACATTTGTTGCCCACCAGCACAACCTGCGCATTGTCCCATGAGTAAGTCTTTATCTGAGTGCTCCTGATTATGATGGGGGTGATGATGATGATGATGGTTATGATGACGATGATTGTGGTAGTGGTGATGATGAAGATGATAGTGGTGGTGGTGATGATGATGATGATTAAGATGATGATGGTTATGGTGGTGTATATATTGTTGATGATGATATTGATAATGATGGTAGTGGTGATGATGACAAAGATGATGATGGTGAAGGTGTAAATGTTGATGATGATTGCAATAAAAAACTATATAATAATTTTCCCCCAAAAAAAAATTGCCGACCAATCGCGAGCTATGATAAAAACGGCTGACCAATCGAAAGCGGTGATTGAAAATAACCGGCCAATCATGAAATTTTTGTAAGTTCAACTGACCAATCCTGAACGGCGTTGAATGATTCTTCATTGGTGACGTCATACATGAGGATGAAGCCCATGGCGCCTCTGTAGTAAGCTGTTGTTATCGTCCTGTACCTCTCCTGACCCGCCGTGTCCTGTGGTTGTTGTGGTTGCTGTAGTTGCTGCTATTGTGGTTGCTGTTGTTGCTGCTGTTGTGGTTGCTGTTGTTGCTGCTGTTGCTGCTGTTGTGGTTGCTGTAGTTGCTGCTGTTGTAGTTGCTGTTATGGTGTTGATGCCGTTGTTGATATTGTCGTTGTTGTTGGTGTTGTTATTGATTTTGATGTTGTTGTGTTGTTTGGTTCGATATTCGGTTATATATATATTTACATGTACATATGATTTGATATTTAAGTTCGTGTTCGTGTTCATGATTTGATATTTGAGTATGTTTGTGTGTTTGTATATGTGTATATTTGTGTATGTTTGTATGTTTGTATATTTTGAAGTTTTGATCATTTCGTATTTGCATATTTGTTTG